CATTTTGCTTTTTTCATTTAGCCAGTATATCCAGAAAATCACTTTCTGTCATCTCAAAGAGCTCTTCCTCATTTTTTTCTGAATACTCAACATTTTACAATTACAAACAATGCTGTATATGAACTTATGTACTTACTATTGGTTGCGTATTTTCAAGGTAAATTCCATGAAGTAGGATTGCTGAGTCAAAAGGAAAATGGATGTGTAATTTTTTTAGATATTGCCAATTCCCAAAAAATGTTGTACAAATTTGCATTCACTAGCAATGCATAGGAGTGCTTTTCACTGTCTTGCCAACAGGATGTAGTTTCATACTTTTTAGTTTTTGCCAATCTCATAGATAAGAAATGATACCTTTGTGAGGTTTTAATTTACATTTTTCTAGTTTTGAGTGACACAGAAGATCTTGCAAATATTTTCATTCAGTTTGTCAGTTGTCCTTTCACTTTATTTTATAGTGCTTTTGATATATATATTTAAAAATTAACGTAGTTAAATTAATCTGTTTTTTATTTATTGCATCTGAATTTTGAGTCATAGGTATAGAAAGCCTTTCACTATACTAAGGATATAAGGGAATTCAGGTGGGATTATATAAGTATTTGAATGATTCTAGCCCTAAAACTTAATTTTTCTTTGAGAGATTAGGGTAGGAAATAGGGGGCATTATTTAAAACCTCTGATTCAAAAGTAGCTGCAGAAAAGCTGAGAATTAAGTAGAAAGTGGCAGCTGAGAAAATGAATAGAGCTTTTGGTAGTTTTGTGGCTCTTTGGGGACCAAAATTGGAATTCAGGGCCCTTCCAAAGCCCATCCTAGAGGAGGGATCTTGATAAATACCTGTGACTTTGATATCAGAACCCATGAGTATAAAGGAGTAAAGATGAATCAGAAATACAGCAAATCTTCGGAAGGACTTATACCTAGTTTTGAAGATTTCAATCTCTGATTATATTAAGATAATCTTCCTCTACCCTAGAAGTCTTCAAGAAGCAAAAATAAGCTTTCTCTGAAGGAAAATAATATATAGAGCCTCACATTGTCTCTGAAAATTTTCATATATGATGTCTGGAATTCAGTAAAAAAATAACCTAGCCTATAAAAAAAAGAGTTACTATACAGATATTAAGAGGAAAAAACCAAACAGGCAATAGAAACAGAATCCTAAGATTTCAGATTCAGGTTATTAGAGGTGGACTTTAAATAAATGGGATTAAACAATTCAAGGAGTTAAAAAAGAAGATGGAAAATTTTAGCAGAGAACTGATATCTCTAAGAAGAGCCAAATGGAAATTCTATAACTAAAATTATAACTGAAATTAATTAATCACTGCTGGAGAGAATCAGGAAACTGAAAATAGTTCAGAAATAAATATTCAGACAACCATGGAGAGACAAAAAGAGGAAAATTTTTAAAAATATTGAAGAAACACATGGGACATAAAATTCTGATGTGTGTAATGTATTCCATAATGAGAGATGAGAGAGCAAGAGAGCAATAATTGAGCAAAAGCAATATTTGAAGAGATAATGTTCAAGAGTTTTACAAAACTAAGGAAAGATACCAACCCAGAGATTGAAGAGGCACTTTGAACATCAAGCAAGATAAAAGTTAAGAGAACCGTACTACTATATATTCCATAGAAAAACAGCTGAAAACCAAAGATGAAGAGAAAAAATATTAAAAGCAACCAGAGAAAAAGAAAATACATTATCCTTAAAGGAATAAAGAGAAAAAATAATAGTTGGATTTTCATCATAAACAATCAAAGACAGAAGATAAGGGTGATGCTGAAAGAAAATAATTACAAATATAGAAGTGTATACATAAAAAGTCCAAGTGAAGGCAAAATAAAGATACTTTCAAACAAAGTAATATGAAAAGAGTATCAGCAGACCAACACCAAAGACCCTATTAAAGGGAATTATTTCTTCATCCTAAGGGAGATTATTTTAAATGGAAATATGGAGCAAGTGAAGAACAAAGGAAAGGGTAAATATAATGAACATTGACTGTACAGAACAATATAATATCTGGAGGGGTATAAGGTATATGTAAAAAAATAAAATATACCAAAATAGGAGCCAAAAGTTGGGGCAGGGATAAAGGAAACAAAATCTTCTAAGAGTGCTTTCATTGTTTAAGAAATGGTAAAGTTTAATTCATACTGGATTTTGACAAGTGAGAGTACATGCTTGTAATCACTAAGATAACTAAATTAATAGCAAAGAGATTGTATGATTAACAAGGAATTTAGTCAAAACCCATCAGTAGAGAAGGGAAGGAACATTTCATTATAAAACAAGATTTAATACTTCAGGAAAATATAACTCCTAAATTTGTCTCCACATAATAACATCAGTGACAATTATACAATGTAAGCAGTTATAGACATGGCATAATGATAGTGGGGGATTTTTAACACAAGTAGAAGAAAGATGAGTGAGAATATGAAAAATATAACCCACATGCTTAGTGTATTTGGTTTGGTAGACATATGTAGAACTCAGTAACCACTAGCTGTGGAACATATATTCCTTTCTGGTGCATATGGGATACTTAACAAAATCTTTCATAGGTTGAGCCTTAAAGCAAGTCTCAACATATTTCAAAGGATTGAAATCACACTGGAAATGTTTTCAGTTGACTCACACTAGAAATCAATAACAAAAAGATATAAATTTATTTATTTATAAAATTTTAAAATAAATCTAAGTAGCTGAAGCTCATTTTCAGGACAAAGCCTCATATTGAAGAGTAACTTCTGGAAATAACTTTCAAATTGAGCAGAGTAGGAACAAAATAAAAGTGAGGGAAATAAAGTTCCAGGTAAATGTGGGAATGGAGTAAACACCAACTGATCTCGGAAAAAAATTCAAGGCCATATTAAAACTTCACAAAAACAACAGAAGAATGATTGCTAGAGTTGTAAAGCTAGAAAAATTATCATGATTGAACATTCATTTCAAACATTAAGGAAAAATTATTTCATGTAATATTTAGCAACAAAAAAAATAATTTGAGTCAAATTCCATGCAAAGTCATTATGGGCAAAAGAGTTAAACTTGTAAATACTTGAAGCATGCCAGAGAACCATGTTCATAAATATATAACAACTGTAACCTAATATTTAAATACAAGTAAACAAAGTAATTATGTGAGATATGAATGAACAAGTAAATTACCATTATGAAAACTCAGAAATGAGAGAATATTAAGATAATTAAAATCGACAAAATTCATATTCCTATCTGAAGACTAGAAGACAAACATAACAGATAATGCCATATGAGAAATAGAGGGTAACAAGACGCTTAAAAATCAAAATTAAATGAAGAAAGGTGAAAAAGAGAAGGTGCAGTTGTAAAAATTCAGCAAAGATTCAATAAAAGTAATAGCACTTCTTGAAGAAGGAAAGCAAAGCAGTGAAACAATACTAAAGTTAAAATTGGAAATATTTGCTGACATAAAACAGTAGATGTTACTAGGTTAACTTCTTAATAGGAAGATAAAGGATTTCTTATGTGATTGATTCTGTTTTCTCTACAAAGTATAAGACATGTCTATCTGAAGAGAATAAAGGAAATTGGTGATGTAGTAGCACGTCTGATGAAAAATGAGAAGGAATGAAATAATTCTTTTGAGGTTAGAAAAGTGCAAGTACTGGGGTGTAGTAATAGGCTTGTTAAGCCATCCTGAATGTCCAAAATTTATGGTCATAAATTCAGAGTGAAAAGTCAACATGGTATGTGTTTTTCTCCAATATCATTATGTAATTCTGGATCAAGGTCAAGCCAGCCATCCATTTGAGGTTCTACCAGATAAGTATTAAGGAAGGAGAGAAGTAAAGGAAGTTAAGGGTACAGTTGTCCTTTAGTATCCGTGAGGGGGCTGGGATTGGTTCCAGGACCCACGTGGATACCAAAATCTGTGGATGCTCAAATTCCTTATGTAAAGTGGCATAGTACAGTTTGCCCTCTGTATCTGTGGGTTCCTCATCCGTGGATTCAAACAACCTGTGGATATGGAGGGCCTACTGTTTTGCAAATGAGGAATTTCAGTGCTGAACTATGGCCTATAAACTGCTTCACTAGAGACAAAACATGAAGAAAAAAAGTGGTACTGGGCTTCCCTGGTGGCGCAGTGGTTGGGAATCCGCCTGCCGATGCAGGGGACACGGGTTCTTGCCCCGGTCCAGGAGGATCCCACATGCCGCGGAGCGGCTGGGCCTGTGAGCCATGGCCGCTGAGCCTGCTCATCCGGAGCCTGTGCTCCGCAACGGGAGAGGCCACAGCAGTGAGAGGCCCGCATACCGCAAAAAAAAAAAAAAAAAAAAAAAAAAGTGATAGTGAAAAAGTGGTAGAATCAGTGGATTAGACATCTCAAAGAGGTAAAGGAATTGACTGCGTGCGAGTACTAAAGTAGAGAGGCTCAAAGCGTGGAAGGGTATGTGTAGAAAATGGAAAAAAATGAAATGGTTTTGATTGAAAATGATGAGATCAAGATTATGAGTATGACACCTGAGTTGCTGAAATGCGGTGGAAGAACAGGTCATTAGAAGTGAGGTAGTCAAAGAATAAGTTTTTGAAATTCCATTTAATGACTAGGTCTTTAATATACTCATAAATATTTCCTTTTTAAATATGAACTTTTCATTTTATATTTATATTTAGAAAATTTTAGTCTCTCTATATGGAGTGTTTCCTTTCTATAGTCAGTATATGTAAAATCTGTCCAAATGATGAAGAATATATTCATTTTCTTAAATTCTTAAAATCTTTGTCTGACAAAAATGCAATTGTGATATTTCCAAATACATACTGCTGTTCAGTCTAGCCATATGTAGATTCTTTTGTATAAAGATTTGATTATATAGTTAATGTCATAATGCACTTTAAAATTTTGCAGTGTAACACTTTATGGATTTTAGTTTTCCTTTTGAATATATTGGAAAATATTGTTAATACCACTTATTAATTACCGGTTTTCAATAAATTACAGCTAAACATTTACCATTTTGGAATTTAAAGTATGACATCATGGCAAAGTTTCGAAGAAGGACTTGCATCACTTTGTCACTTTTTATTCTATTTATTTTCTCTCTGATGATGGGTTTAAAAATGCTGAGACCACATAAAGCTGCTTTTGGAGATCCTTTTGGACTTGACCTTCTTCCAGAAATTCGGCAACAAATTCCTCATTTGGTAAAAACTTTTGATTCCCAAAAGAGTGACAGAATCGACAGTGAAACAAACGTCAAGAATTTAAAAAGTGTTGAAATCACTATGAAACCTTCCAAAGCCTCGGAACCTTATCCAGAAGAACTGCCACCTCGGAATTATTTTTTACATGTATTTTATTACAGCTGGTATGGAAATCCACAGTTTGATGGTAAATATATACATTGGAACCATCCAATCCTCTCGCATTGGGACCTTAGAATAGCCAAGAAATATCCACAAGGGAAACACAACCCCCCAGATGACATTGGCTCCAGCTTTTACCCTGAGTTGGGAAGTTACAGCTCTCGGGATCCTTATGTCATTGAAACGCACATGAAACAAATGTACTCAGCTTCAATTGGTAATTATTTTACGTGTGTGTTTAGATATGTGTGTGTATATATGTGTGTGTATGTATGTGACTGTGTATGTATATGTATGTGAGTTTGTGTGTAGAAATAATTTTTTATAGAACATTAATTACTAATTAGTCTTCACATTGTTGTTAATTATAATTTTAAGCTTACATACCGTAAATTAAACTGTTGTTAAGCATCTTTTAACATGTTAACACTAACATTTCTGGATATAATATTTTTATTCTAATTTAATACTAATTTTATTTCTAATTTAATACTCCTTCTGAATTTTATTAAATTATGATTGACATAAGCTGCAATGAATTCTCTCACTTTGAGGTACATCTGTTTAAATATCACCCCAATCGTGAAGTAAAATATTCTATAGCTTCCCTTATTCAGCCCTCCCTACATTCCAGGAAACTATGTATCTTATTTTTATCACTGTAGAGTAGTAGTTGTAAATGTTCTATTATTATAGAAAAATAGAATCATCAAACACTTATGTGTGTGTGGCGTGGGGGGGGGTGTCTTTTGCTCAGTGTGCTGTTTTGAAATTTACCCATGTTGTTAACTCTATCAGTAGTTTAGTCATTATTATTGCTTAATAGTATTCCATTGTATGATTATAGCAATTTGTTTCTGCATTCGTCTTGATGCACATTTGTGATATTTCATACTTTAGGCATGTAGCATAGAATTTGGTCTTTTTTGTTTGTTTTTTAAACTAGTCTGACAAACTCTTATATTTTAACTCCTGTTTATTTCATTTATATTTAATGTAATACTGATATGGTTGATTTTAAATGTTTCATTTTGCTATTTGTTTTCTGTTTCTCTCTGTTCTGTTTCTTTTCCTCTTTTTCTGCCTTGTATTGAAAATGTTTATTCCATCTTATATTCTCTTCTGGCTTATTAGATATATTCCTTCATTTTATTTATTTTATGATTGCTCTGACGTTTACAACATGCCTCTTTAACTTAATTGTTGGGAAGTCACAAATTATTCTTATTGTTGTCCCCCACTTCCTCTCAACTTTCCCTTCCCTCTAACTTCTGGCACTCCAATTACACATATTTACATGTTGTCCCACAGGTAAATAATATGAAAAAAATGTGTAATTGGGTGTCTGAAAATTCTTCAATTTATTAATATACCCTTTATAAAACTCTCCCTGTTTTGGTTCCCTCTGTCTTGTTAGTGTCTCTAGCACTAGGGCCACAAGAAGAAATTGGGTATTCTAACATTTTTCTGACTCTTCAGAAGGTGCCAACTCACCGTTGAGCTGATATGGGTATAGAGACATGCAAGACTTTTTCATGAACAAAACAATATAAAGTCCTGTGAATCTACATCAACTATGTGCAAGGTGACTTGTTTTTCTTTTGTGGAGTAATTGGTTACTTTTCAACTATTTTTTGAAAATCTAACATTCTAGTATATATTTATAGCTCTAGTTTCTATGTTGTATGACAAAATATGACATAAAGTAGGTTTGGTAAATTGAGAGAGCATTGACTGCTCTGTGTGTTTGTATCTGCCTCTATTTACAGTTTACTTTTGGAGGGAGAATCTTTCAAAAGACTTTTCTCCTATTTTCTACAAAGAATTTGTATCACGTTCAAGTCATTTTTGTTATTTCAAGATTGATTTGTTTATGGCTATAAAAGTATACAATGAGGGTTTTTTAAAATCTCAGATGTATAACTTACATGTACACATACTCATAACACATATAACTATTATATATAAATACATAAATGACATACTGCATATTTTATAATTTTAATTGTGATTAGGAAGAGTTTCAGTTCATATTTAGACTTACGCCTAACATTTGTAAAGATCTTCCCCTATATATTATTTACTGCTATATAATTTTTTGAACATGAAATGTTTTAAAACATTGTCAACAGTACAATTTTAAGTGTTGACAGTCACACTATTGATGCAAATATTTTATTTCTTTGGTTGATTTTCCACTGGGGAACACCTAACACTTGTGAGTAATAAAAGTGACATTACAGTCTATCTGTAAATAAATTATTTCCTTATCAGTTAAATATTGAATTATACTCATTTTATTGAGAAATAACTGACATATAATGTTATATAGGTTTAAGATGTGTAGAATATTGATTTTATATATTTATATTTCAGTATGATTGCCATTATAGTGTTAGCTAAAACCTCTATCACATCCCCTAATTATCATTTCTTTAGTGATGGGAATAATTAACACATAGGCTCTTAGCAAGTTTCATGTTTATGATTCAGTTTTGTTGTCTATAATCATTGTACTGTGTATTATATCTCCACGTCTTAATTTATATGCTAGTTGCAAGTGTGTACCTTAAACAGTATATCTCCCATATCCCCACTTCTGATCCCCTAGTAACCACCCTTCCATTCTGTTTCCTTGTGTTCAATATTTTTTTTATATTCCACATATAAGAGATAATTTGTAATATTTGTCTTTCTGTGTCTGACTTATCTCACTTAGCATAAATCCTCACTATCCATCATGTTGTTGCAAATGGTAGGATTTCCTTTTTGCTTGTGGCTGAGTAGTATTCCATTTCCATATATATTTTATATATATACATATATATCTCATATATATATATAATGGAATATATATACACATACCACATTTACTCATTGATGGACACTTAGGTTGTTTTTGTACATTGGTTATTGTTAATGCTGCATTAAACTTGGTAGTGCACGTATCACTTTAATAACCTGTTTTCATTTCTTTTGGATATATTCCCAGAAGTCAGATTGCTACATCATGTGGTAGTTCTGTTTGTAATTTTTTGAGGAATTCCTGTACTCTTCTCCATACTGACTAAACTGTTTATAGTCCCAACAGCTGTGCACAAGAGTTCCCTTTTTTTCCCACATCTTCACCAACACTTGTCACTCTTCTTTTCTTGGTGATAGCTATTGATACGATATAGCTGTGAAAGGATATCTCACTGTGGTTTTGATCTGATCTTTATGATTTCTTTCCTTCTGCTAACTTTGGGGTTTTTTTATTCTTCTTTCTCTAGTTGCTTTAGGTGTGAGGTTTATTTGCGATGTTTCTTGTTTCTTGAAGTAGGATTGTATTGCTATAAACTTCCCTCTTAGAACTGCTTTTACTGCATCCCATAGGTTTTGGGTCATTGTGGTTTCATTGTCATTTGTTTCTAGGTATTTTTTGATGTTCTCTTTGATTTCTTCAGTGATCTCTTGGTTATTAAGTAGTGTATTGTTTAGCCTCCATGTGTTTGTATTTTTTCCTATAACTGATATCTAGTCTCATAGCATTGTGGTCGGAAAAGACACTTGATACGATTTCAATTTTCTTACATTAAACAAGGCTTGATTTGTGACCCAAGATATGATCTATCCTGGAGAATGTCCCATGAGCACTTGAGAAGAAAGTGTATTCTGTTGTTTTTGGATGGAATGTCCTATAAATATCAATTAAGTCCATTTGTTTAATGTATCATTTACAGCTTGTGTTTCCTTATTTATTTTCATTTTGGATGATCTGACCATTGGTGAAAATGGGGTGTTAAAAGTCCCCTACTATTATTGTGTTACTGTCGATTTCCCCTTTTATGGCTGTTAGCATTTGCCTTATGTATTGAGGTGCTTCTATGTTGGGTTCATAAATATTTACAATTGTTATATCTTCTTCTTGGATCGATCCCTTGATTATTATGTAGTGTCCTTCTTTGTCTCTTGTAATAAAGTTTATTTATTTAAAGTTTATTTTGTCTGATACGAGAATTGCTACTCCAGCTTTCTTTTGATTTCCATTTGCATGGAATATCTTTTTCCATCCCCTCACTTTCAGTCTATATGTGTCCCTAGGTCTGAAGTAGGTCTCTTGTAGACAGCATATATGCCAGTCTTGTTTTTGTATCCATTCAGCCAGTCTATGTCTTTTGGAGCAATTAATCCATTTACATTTAAGGTAATTATCGATATGTATGTTCCTATTCGTATTTTCTTAATTGTTTTGGGTTTGTTATTGTAGGTCTTTTCCTTCTCTTGTGTTTCCTGCCTAGAGAAGTTCCTTTAGCATCTGTTATAAAGCTGGTTTGGTGGTGCTGAATTCTCTTAGCTTTTGCTTGTCTGTAAAGGTTTTAATTTCTCTGTCGAATCTGAATGAGATCCTTTCTGGGTAATCTTGGTTGTAGGTTTTTCCCTTTCATCCCTTTAAATATGTCCTGCCACTCCCTTCTGGCTTGCAGAGTTTCTGCTGAAAGATCAGCTGTTAACCTTATGGGGATTCCCTTGTATGTTATTTGTTGTTTTTCCCTTGCTGCTTTTAATATTTTTTCTTTGTATTTAATTTTTGATAGTTTGATTAATATGTGCCTTGGCATGTTTCTCCTTGGATTTATCCTGTATGGGACTCTCTGTGCTTCCTGGTCTTGATTGACTATTTCCTTTTCCATATTAGGGAAGTTTTCAACTATAATCTCTTCAAATATTTTCTCAGTCCCTTTCTTTTTCTTTTCGTCTTCTCAGACCCCTATAATTCAAATGTTGGTGCATTTAATGTTGTCCCAGAGATCTCTAAGACTGCCTTAAATTCTTTTCATTCTTTTTTTCTTTATTCTGCTCTGCAGTAGTTATTTCCACTATTTTATCTTCCAGGTCACTTATCTGTTCTTCTGCCTTAGTTATTCTGCTATTGATTCCTTCTAGAGAATTTTTAATTTCATTTATTGTGTTGTTCATCATTGTTTGTTTGCTCTTTAGTTCTATTAGGTCCTTGTTAAACGATTCTTGTATTTTCTCCATTCTATTTCCAAGATTTTGGATCATCTTTACTATCATTATTCTGAATTCTTTTTCAGGTAGACTGCCTATATCCTCTTCATTTGTTAGGTCTGGTGGGTTTTTACCTTGCTCCTTCATCTGCTGCGTGTTTCTCTGTCTTCTCATTTTGCTTCACTTACAGTGTTTGGGTTCTTCAGGTTCATAGTTCCCGTTTTT